CACTCATAATAGCAAAATCAAGAAATTTGATTGCTTATTGTAATAGAGCAAGAGTTGTGAGTTAAAATTGAAATGATACAAAGCTCGTTCAACTATTGTTATTCTTTGAAAGTGAAATCAACAATATTAAAAAATTCGAAGAGATATATTGGCATGAATAACTATCGTGGTGATCAAGTTTATCCACTATAAATATTTATCTCATCATTTAAAAGTGAAAGGGAGATGAAAAATATGAAAAATGATTGGTCATATATCCATTTCACGATAAAGCATGTTGATAAGTTTTATGAAGCACCAACACAAAAGCAGAAGAAATTGCGTTGATTTTGGTGTCACGAGATTGACCAATTCAATTAAAGTTGCAAGTTTCACTCCAAATTCATATCTATGGAGGTATGTACATGATTTTTTTTATATAATTGGTTTGGATGAGTTGAAATTTCAAATCAAACGAAAAAAAGGGGATCTGATTTTCTTGTTAAAATTCCAAACCCTCTGCATATTCTCATTTTTTCAAAATTTAGTTTACTCCTTCAAAATTTTCAAAATTTTCATTTTAGTCCACCAGATTTGAAAATTTTACAATTTAGTCCAAATGTTTTTCAGAATATGCAGCTCGTTCATCTCATCATCTGCAATTATGAATACATTTCAGCATTTTCTGTTTCCACCGAAGTTTTAAAATTTGCAGCCTTGTCCATAAAATTTTCTAAATTTACAATTTGGTCCCTAAATTTTCAAAAAATACAGTTTGGTCCCTGAATTTTCAAAATTTTAAAAATTTGGTCATTTGTGTACCGAACCTGTTAGATTCTCAAATGTTACTTTCATTTAGATAAAAGCTATATCACATGGTTTATTAATTATTATGCAATATTTTGCACCACTGGGAGATATTTCTATGGCATACATTGTCAATTGTCATTTTAATGAGACAATTTTCCCGCCGCTAAGAGGGAGATAAGAAGTCGGTTCTTGTATAACGGCGTGAATTATATGAAATGATCTTTGTCTCATCTAGATTTTTGCATGGAAATATTTAAGTACAAAAGAAAAAAGAATTCATTTGCAACAATTTTAATGTGTAAAATGCTAGATGCATTTATCGATAAAATGACAACTTGAAAGTATTACACATGTTGCAAATGAGTGCAAGAAAAAATGTCCAAGAATGACACATTGCACATTAGATTTTCCATGAAAAGAATGTCCTCGAAGGACAACTTTCACATTGTGATTGCATCGTGAATCCCTAAATGGGTGAAAAATGATTATAGTACACAGCTAACCAATTATAATTTATGCATATAAGAAGGGAAGATGTATATGTTGGTTCGAATGATTAATACACTTATAAGTGGTGTGAATACCGTTCAATTAAAGTCTACTAGCGCTAGTAGCATCATACTCTCATCCTATTAATTATCTCATTCATGAAAGGATTTGTCTTAAAGACGATGTTGGGGGACGCCTCAACACCAATATCCATCACTATGATATGAGAATACATGCCACTTATGGTGGCATAAATGAAATACATATTTGGATGAGAAAATCATTGATGATTATATGGTAGCTTCCAAGACTATTATAAATCGAACTATTAGTGTCAATAAAGAGTTGATTGATGATAAATCATGGTTAGCTTGCTCTCTAAGTGAATAAAGAGGCATTTGAGACTATTAGTTCTCAATTTTGTTGTTGTACCGATATAATATCTTAAAGATCTGAAAATTATTTTTCGAATGAATATTCATGTACCAAATTAAATTTGTTAATATTGAGTTTGAAAATAAAGTGGACAAGTTGTGCTCAATACTCCCTCCACGTTGTGAAACTCAAAAGCGCGCGTTTGTCCATGTAGGACATTTTTATTGAAATAAATAATGAGCTCAAACACATAAAGTATTCTGAAAAACTTTATTGATGCAATGTAGAAAATTCTCTATAAGAGAAAAATACATGGTACATGAAAATATATGGATCTCTACAAGAGATCGTACCCACAAAGGCTACAATCCCCATTTATATCAATATAATTCTCTAAGGAGAATCCGGTATCGGAAAGTGAAATAGTGAACTCTTGATTGATTATAAAGAAATATGGGGAGTACGAAAGATGTTATCGAATAACTATATGTACAAGGCTTAATTCCACTTTGCACCCTTGAAATATACCATTTTGGCACTTTGCACCCTCGAAAAATAATAATAGCACTTTGCACCCTCAAAACACAATAAATCATTCACAATGCACCCTCAATTGAATAATAAAGGCAATTTTATTTTTCATTGGTGTTTTTCTTTTTGGGGTACAAAAAAAAAATTGTTGTTTTCTTGAACCTCAAACCTAATTTCGAGCGGACAAAGTGCGAAAAAATAAAAATTACACCGGATTATTAAAAAAAAACTACATTATCTTACAAAAGAAAAATAAAAAAAATAATCTTTTATCACTAAATTATTCGATTGTGGATCTTTTATGTCACTGTTTGTAAAATATTAGGTGAAAATATTTGGAAGAAAAAATAATTTTCAGATAACTTGATAACGTAATAGCTGAATGATTTTTTTTCGTAAAATATTTTATTTTGATAAAACAATATAATTTTTAAATATGTTGATGGAATGTATTTTTATTTTTGAACTTTATAGTTTCAAAATGATTGATGAATAAAAAAAATATTTGACATTTGGCATCCTAAAAAAATATCACTACAAATATTAAATTTATATTTTTTAGCTTTAAAAAATCATTTGGGGTGCATTATGCATGATTTATTGTATTTCGAGGGTGCAAAGTGCTATTAATTTATTTCGAGGGTGCAAAGTGCCAAAATGGTATATTTCAAGGGTGCAAAGTGGAATTAAGCCTATGTACAATTATTTTTATTATTTGAAGAGCTTGAAGCTCGTAAATTTTAATTGATGTTGACATCTAATTGGTCATTAGTATATGCATTCACAAATGCAATTGGCCATGATTATTTGAAATTATTGATGAAATGAATTGTACATTGACTTGAGGTCATCACACATAAAGTTGTCAAAGCCTAGTACAAAAGTGGGTAAAATCATTGCGGTAAATTTGAATGCCTTTGAAAATATATTTTTATGATGATATTAAAAATACTTGACATGCATCATATTGATGCAATTATCGCATATCTACATGGATCATAAAATTAATGAAGACTTGATAATGCTTTGTGCATATACTAAGAGGTTTCGTGAGTCTGACTCTAGAAATGATCCATTTACATATTATCTTCAAAATATGGTACATTCACCTCAGTGAATACCTTGTCGATAATCAAATAATTTGACTTACCATTATCATGGTATAGATGTGAATGACCTAAATCTTGTGGAGACTCACGAAGAGCTCACAAAGATGGTCAATTATTTGGTGACATAATTTGAGATGAAAAATATTGAAATGGCAAAATGCATCTCGAAAAGAAGATATATCAAATGAAATTTATCCATTTATACAAATAAGAAATGGATAAGACTCATCTATATATTGAGTGATATTATGTTTGTCCAATCATTTGATATAATTGAAGATTTTTTAAGCTCCCGAGAAGATAATGAAAGAATTACAAATTTGCAAAAAGTGTAAAATGTGTATTACACGATCTTTATGGAAAATTCCGTGGATCTTAAAGCGGATATAGTTGGCTATATATAAGGTCAAACAATAAATTACCATATTCATTTATCGGAGTATTGTCAACTACTTCATTGAGAAGATGATTAAAAGTCTTATGTCGAAATCAGGGGGTACATGAGCACTACTTATAACAACACTATACTATTTTTCCTTCGACCAAATTTTTGTCCCCATGGGTTTTTCTTGACAAGGTTTTAACTAGGGAGTGTCACGCTCGCAAATTTCATATGGATATGTATTCTTTTCTCCTTCGATTAGATTTTGTCCGAATGGGTTTTCTAACAAGGTTTTTAATGAGACATATTTCATATATGATGGACATCCAGGGGGAGTGTTATGAATTCTTAAAAGCGTGGATGATCATAACTACTCCCACCATTTACTCCCCATTATAAGCTCATAATTCCTTGTAACTCGTAACATTTCATAATCTTACTTGTACTATATACTATATAAAGTGCTCCATTGTGTTGAGATGGATATACAAGAAAACAAGAAAATAGTATATTTGTTCTTATCCGTATTACTATTTCAATTCATATTTGCTCAAACAAATATAATATTTTAACAGTTTTTAAGCAATGCCCCAAGAACTGAAGAAGAAGATTTGATTATGAAATGCTATATCAGCGACGGTGAATAGATGTTGGCGGCGTTGATGCTCCGCTGCGGGGAGACGGAGAGAGGCGGCGGCTACCAGCGGTGGAAGGAGAAGAGATAGGAGAGAAATTTGTAATACTAGTGAAATTGTTCTAGGTTTCCAATCATTTGCTGTTTCTACAGTAATGTAATATTCTGCCTGCTCTTCTTTTATGTTTTATTTTGTTATCTTTTTTCGCAGTGGAAAAAGAAAATCTTGTCTCTAACCGTAGAAAATCTAGTTAAAACAAAATATGCGCTCAACTCAATAATTGAGTTTTTGAGTATGGACAAGTAAGAATTGGGGCCACCTGAAATTTCCACTTTGAATAGTCATTAGTCAAGAACCTGATTCCTTTTTTATTTTTTTTTTTTTTTTTTTTTTTATTTTATAAATAATTTATAAACTAAAGTGATTATTGTAGATACAAATAAATTGTGGTGGACTGGTTCACTGAATATACATGACAGGACAAATGAAATGAAGGTAATTTAGATCAACATGTAGTAGTTCTTTTTTATATGTTAGAGAAATTGGGCTTTGTTTGATTGCACTTTATTTAATTATAATGATGACTGTAGTAAGTGAGACATTAGTCAAGCTGCCATGAGAAAAAAAATGAAGGTAATTGGAACCAACGTGGACTAGTTTTTGTATGTTACGGGAGACTAAACCATTGACGCACTATTCTTGGAGGACCGCTTGTCCACTATAAGACTTTTCTTTGCACACATACATTGTTCGACTCTACTTGGTCTGTGGACAGAAATTTTTGTTATAGTCGTTTGCAAAAGATCGAAAATAAATGCGTAATACACTAATATATCAGTATATCATTTGAGCCATATGCCTCAAATGCATTCTCCATTCATCATGATGTATTTCTTCTTCATTGTGATGTTGTTGACCTTTAATCGTTCGGAATGTGAGGGAATTCTGTTTGCAGACACAATTAATGTGAGTACTCCCTTAACTGACAACAGTTACGACACTCTTGTTTCAGGTGGAAACAGATTTGAGCTTGGTTTCTTTACTCCTCAAGGTAGTGAGAAAACATATGTAGGCATATGGTATTACAACAAATTGAATATTCCAAGGACCGTTGTCTGGGTTGCGAATAGAGACGAGCCGTGGGTCCATCCGTGTGTTGGAGTGTTTGGTATTGCAGATGATGGGAATATCAAGATCTGGTGTGATGGCGATACTGGAGTTGGTGTTCCTGTGTCAACTCTTGACACGTCTAGAAGCTCGAACAGAAGTTTGCAGTTGTTGGATTCTGGGAACTTGGTACTGGTCGACGGTCAACACGATAAGAGATTGTGGCAAAGCTTCGATTATCCGACCGATACGTTTCTCCCAGGTATGGAAATGAACGATCACACGAAATTGACTTGTTGGAACTCCTCTACTGACCCTGGTGTAGGATATTATACGTTCGGTCGAGATCAAGGTGTTTACACCATACTGAAGAGAACAACTGTTCACTGGAAAAGTGGTGAGCCTGGTCCTTTTCCGCTGCTTAATAATGATTTGCCTTCTATTGTAGCCCAAATATTTTTGAATCCCGACACGGGGTTGAATCAGCAAAACTCTCAATCAGTTAGGAATTTTATAACTTATCATAATAATACAAGGCCTTCTTCATTTTACCACAACTCGAGGATTTTGATGAATTCTTCGGGAGAGATCCAGTATTATAATTACAGTACGGATGGAGGTGGAAAGTGGTTATTATTTTGGTCAGCGCCCCAAACATGGTGCAGTGTGTACGACTCGTGTGGGAAGTTTGGTATTTGTAATAACTTGGAAGATAAGCCAATGTGTCAATGCCCGCCTGGATTCACGCCTACTTCTTCGGAACATTGGAGTAACGGAGAGTACTCAGAAGGTTGTGACAGGATGGAGTCGATAAAATGTAACCAGAACCAGACGGACAAGTTTATAAAATTAACGTTGGCTAGACCAGGTGGTCAAGTCCTGCCATTTGATCAGGCTCAGAAACGGGCAGACTGCCAAAAGGAATGTTTAGATAATTGCAAATGTGAGGCGTACTGGTATACAGCTCGTAATATCACCGACAGAGATACTGGTAAACCTGCTGCAAAGTGTTGGATTTGGACTGCTCAACTTGAAAATCTTCATGGGGACTACACCGACAACAACAAACTATACCTTTCTTTGCGTGTACCTTCGTCGGCTGTAGGTAACTTTACTTTACGTCATATTAATTTCGCAAACCTTCGACAAACAAAATAATTAAGAAGAGAGCCCCATATGGCTAATCTCTTAATTACTAATTAATTAATTGATACAATTTATGTATTGATTGAGTACCTTATAAGGCTTACTGCTATAATTGGTATTGAAGTTTTTTGTTTCCTGTTTTTGTTACTGGCTTATTCAGATTGCAATGACAGAGGCAACAACGACTCGAGTGCAATTTGTGCTCAAGGTGTGTGTTTAATAGATTAGTCAAAACATGTTGTCATTACGTAGGTGGAATAATAACTCGAAGAATTAATTCAAATGTCTTTTTTTGTACTTCAGAACCTGTAAACACTCTTTCACATCGATTTACGAAGAAGTCGAGAAGAATATATGTGATTGTCGTCACCATTTTAGGAGGAGTTGTACTAGCTCTTTGCTGTATCTATATCTTATATAGAAGAAAGATGAAGGCTAAAGGAAGAGGTATATATATAAACTAGCAAAGCTCGAACTAAACATTTTCTTTTGATTATAGTTCAACTAAATGATTTCAACAAATATTACCATTTTTCGATTATTCCAGAAAATCGAGGAAGGACTGACAGACTAATGCTTTTCTCAAATGAAAGTGAGAGACAAGTAAATGACTTGATGATGCATGAAAACAACCAAGGCAGCATTGATGTTCCTTTCTACAATTTGGACGTCATTTTATCTGCTACAGACAATTTCTCCGATGCAAATATGCTCGGCCGTGGTGGATTTGGGCCCGTATATAAGGTCGCCACATCATTTTTTTTTCTCGCAGTGTGGAATTTTAACGTATGCTCGACTTTCTAACACTATAGTCTTGCAGGGGAAGTTTCCAGGAGGAAGTGAAATTGCAGTGAAGAGGTTGTCGAGTTTCTCCGGTCAAGGAATCGAGGAATTCCGAAATGAAGTCATCTTGATTGCTAAGCTTCAACATCGAAACCTTGTTAGACTTTTGGGATACTGTATCACAGAAAAAGAAAAAATCTTGCTGTACGAATACATGCCTAACCGAAGCTTAGATGCCTTCATATTTGGTTAGTTAGTTCACCCCACACAAATATATTTTCCAACTTGGATAAGCCCATAGTTAATATATATTTCCTTCTTTTTTTGTTTCTTTTTCCAATGACTTTCTTTGCTAGATCAAAATAACTGTTTGCTACTTGACTGGAATCAACGTTTTAACATAATTTTGGGGATAGCAAGAGGGCTACTTTACCTTCACCAAGATTCGAGGTTGAGGATCATTCATCGAGATATGAAAACGAGCAACATTCTACTAGATGAAGATATGAATCCCAAGATATCGGATTTTGGTTTGGCAAAGATTGTCGAAGGCAAAGAAACAGAGGCAAGTACCAACAGAGTCGTCGGCACCTAGTAAGTCTTAATTAATACGTATCACGCAAAAAGTAATATGCATGCATGTCGATCGAGAGAGTAATTAGTTAAGAAGATTGTTTGTGTTTGCCTTTTTAAATGCAGTGGGTATATGTCTCCAGAGTACGCATTGGACGGGAAATTCTCAATAAAGTCGGATGTGTTCAGTTTCGGAGTTGTGATGCTTGAGATAATCAGTGGGAAGAAGAACACCGGTTTCTATAACCCTCAACAAGTCTTGAATCTCCTTGGATATGTGAGTCAAATGTTGACCATTTCTCGATATGTTATACGCATTTAAATTTACTGCTTGATGACTGAATTTATTGTCAGGCGTGGGGATTATGGATTGAAAACAAGGCAATCGAGTTGGTTGATCCGGTGGTGGTAGAATCATGCGAGGAATGTGAAGTGATAAAATGCATAAATGTTGGGCTGCTGTGCGTGCAAGAAGACCCGAACGATCGGCCCTCCATGTCAACCGTAGTTGTAATGATTGGCAGTGAAAACACGAATTCTATTCCGTTCCCAACAAAACCGGCCTTTGTAGTCAGGAGACATCATTCAAGCACATCTTCCTCCACCTCCACAAAACCTGATACCATCTCTAGCAATCTGCTGACTGTTTCTACGGTAGAGGGGCGATAAAAGGGTGGTTCTATATATATGTATGTATATATGATCACTTAAATTTATGTTTTCTTATTTTCATTCCGGTTACCCTAGGCACATCCATTGAGCATATTCCTGGCACAAGAATATGCATCTAGTGTACCCAGCTCTTTTTGTGTGTGTGTGTGTGTGTGTGTGAATTTGTCGAAGAAATTGAAAATAGAAAGGTTTTATACCTTGTCAATAACTACATTCATTTTAGATAATTATTTACCTAATTAATAATTATTTTTTGGGATCTAATTGAACAGTAGTAATCCATGGTATACCAACTTGGATACAAAAAAAAAAAAAAAAAAAAAAAAAAGGAAAAAGAAATCCTTTGTTTTATGTTGGATTATGTTCTAGCTATACATTGGCCTCTGATACATTGTTGTTCGATATCATAAGTGAAAAATAAATTGGGTGCAGCTAAAAATAATACCATTTTTTTCTCACAACATGTTGTATAAATCAACCTTTGGACCTTACATCGGCAGAAGCAAGTGCAACTCTTATGGCAACCGAGATGGCCAGGGTGAAAAACTGGAGAAAAGTTGTGATTGAAGGTGACTCGAAGATGGTGATCACAACCATGGGAAAAAGCTCAAGCTCATGAGGAGAATGGTTTGAGCAATTTTAATTTAAATATATTTTTAGGGAAGCAAATAAAGCGGCACATGTGATAGCAGCGCTATCAAAAGATCGATCCTATGAATGCTATGATATCCGTGTAAACATAAAAAATATCATTCTCTCTAAGATGAGTCGTGAATAAAATTAATTTTTTCCTTTTCCAAAAAAAAAAAATAAGAATACCATCAAGTTCAATACTATTTATAGAAGTTTTTACAATTTTTCTTAGATTAATACCACAAATAAATTTTTTTATTAGCAAAGTACTAAAATAGCCCTCATCAAACAAGGTAAAATTTATACAAACAATTTTTTTTCTTCCTCATTTCAATACCAAAGATGATATTAAAAAAAAAAAAAGAAAAACTCTCTTCTTCTCCACTAAACCCATTTAACCCTTTCTTCTTCATCTTCCCACAAACCCTTCCAAAAAAACTAAAAATTCAACAAAATCAAAACTTCAAAAAACTTATTAAATAAGGTCACAAGACAATAAAAAAGTAGTTTACACGGAAAGAGAAGCCATTACAGTATGTATCTATGTCTTTTTTGAGCTTGGAAGTCGGTTTTAAAGTTTTGAGGGGTTTGTGAAGAAGGAAAGGGTTTTGAAAGTTTTTTTGTGTATTTGGTATTGAAGAAAGAAAAAATGAAATGCTATTTACGGTCACAAAATTGCTATTCGCGGTTTATAACAAAAACCCCCAAAACTTTTAAAAATATCCAAAAATCCCCCAAAACTGCAAATAGCAAAAAAAAAATAAAAAAAGAATTCGAAAATTCGAAATCAAGCTTGAAGAAGGGTTGGGCTTCGATTTTTTGATGTAATTTCGACTATTTTTGTGTAATATGCATTGAGTAGGTCGATTACGGAACCAATTTCATGTTAAAAAGCCCTACAAATCGATTTGTAGGGCTTTTTTTTTTCGCAAAAAAATGTTCGAACGCCCAAGACAAGATGGGCGCCCATCTTGGGCGTTCAATTAAAAAAAATATATATATTTTTTTTTGCACTGGACGCCCAACTCGGGCGCCCAAATGCAGCTTGCACGCCCAAGTTGGGCGTGCACTCCATGAATGGGCGCCCAAGTTGGGCTTTTACGCGTTTGGGGGGGGGGGGGGGGGGGGGGGTTTGAATTTTTTTGGGAAGTTTTGGGGTTTTAAAGAGGTAAAGTGTTTTTTTTTGGGGTTTTGTTATAGCCGCAAATAGCAATTTTCAAACCGCAAATAGCAATTCCCAAGAAAAATGAGATTTTTAACGTTTTTGTGATATTGATTTTCATTAAGGGTATTTATGTCATTATCTATTTATTATCTAAATTTTATTCTGGTGGTATCGAAGTGAGAAAAAATGAGTATTATTTTTAGCTGTCCCCGAATAAATTAGTGCATATTCCTAAGTAGACACGGTCAATGGGTGAATAGGGCGGGGTCTAGCTCCGAGTTTTAGGGGGCCCAAAACCGACCCGCTGGGAGGCGGTGGGCTAGGCGAGTCTAAGTTGCGTCCGGTCCAAACTGGATTTGGTATACCAACGAGATACTAATACAAAAACTGAAATGATTTGTGCAGGCAATTTTTTTTTTTTTTACTGATGAGCCTAAGTAGGTTTTTTGGCCCAATTAGAGGGAAAATCTACTTAGAGCTAAGATTCAAGCACAATTGTCCCACATCGGAAGTTTACGACAAACTAGTGGTCTATTCCTCCTATAAATATAAGGTATGATTCATTTGTATTTCCAATATCATTTCCAATACCCCGACGAGTCACTTAGCGTTTTAATTTGTTTTGTAGGATATCAAGTGGAGCCCACCTTTCGACCCCTTCGACACGTGGCAAAGAACCCCCGACATTCTCGTACTTGGAGACCGGCTTGTTGGGCTTCAAGACAAGTGGGCTGACTCGTTAGCATCGAAGCAGCATCATTTTGGCGCCGTCTGTGGGAATGCGGACTAGAGCACGTGGCCTGGAGGAAGGCGGTCGAAGGTCGGATGGACTCCCTCCCCGGGAAGCCTACGAGATTCCAGACCCGCCTCGGAGGGCAAGGACAACGGGGGCAAATCCAATAGGAGAGGCGCCGCCGGCCCTGCAGATAACGACGGAGGAATTGGAGGCATTGATGGAACAAACAGCGGCAAAGGCGGCGGCGGCGGCGGTGGCAAACTACCTAGCAACCCATGGAATATGCCCTAAAGTTGGAATTCCCGGCATCCAACAATGAAGCCGAATATGAGTCCCTCGTAGCCGGTTTGAAGCTATCTCAAGCAGCGGGAGCTAGAAGTTTGTTAATCTATAGCGACTCACAGCTAGTGGTAAACCAGGTCGTGGGGATGTACGAAGCCAAAGATGAGAAAATGGTTAAGTACCTAGACCTTGTGCACAAGCTCATAGCCGGCTTTGAGAGAGTGGAGGTCAAACAGGTGCCCCGAGCTAAAAACGCTGCTGCTGATAAACTATCTCGGTTGGCCAGCTCTATGTCAAAAATCGACAGCCGACGAGTCACGTTTCTGTCATCGGGCCACCCTGAAATCGAGTCGAGCAAGCAAATCCTCTGCTCCAGCAACACACCATGATGGAAAGACGAGATAACCAAATATCTTTCTACGTCAGAATTGCCTCAAGATGGAGCGGCTGCAAGAAAAGTAAAGATAAGAGCCTCTCGTTTCCTACTTATCGGAGGTGAGCTTTATAAAAGAGGTTTTTCGGTCCCTTACCTAAAATGCTTGGCCCCGGAGGAAGCAGAGTACGTCTTGCGCGAAATTCATGAAGGCATATGCGGTAATCACTTGGGGGCAAGGGCTCTAGCCGTGAAGGCCTTACGACAAGGATATTTTTGGCCAACCATGCAGCAAGATGCTAAGTCATTGGTCGAGAAGTGCCGACCATGTCAGATACACGCCAACATCTCGCACCTGCCGGGCTCGTTGCTCCACCCGATTGATAGCCCAATTCCCTTCGCCCAATGGGGGATGGATTTGGTAGGGCCATTTCCACCGGCCACAGGGCAACGGAAATTCCTCATCATGGCAGTCGACTACTTTACTAAGTGGGTGGAAGCCGAGCCTCTGGCCAAGATAGCAGAGCCCGATGTCATTCGATTTCTCTGGAGAAATATCGTCTTCCGTTTCGGAATACCCCGCGCCTTAATTTCGGACAATGGCACCCAATTCTGCGGGGACAAGGTGGCACAATGGTGTGAAGGGCTTTCGATCAAGCAATTCTTCACTTCGGTGGGGAACCCGCAGGCGAATGGCCAAACCGAAGTAACAAACAGGACAATCCTACAACACATAAAAACGAGGTTAGGAGACGCCAAGGGCGCTTGGGTTGAGGAGTTGCCAAGTGTGTTGTGGGCCTATCGTACAACCCCACGGAGTTCAACAGGAGAATCTCCCTTCAACCTCGCATACGGAATGGAGGCAGTGGTTCCGGCCGAAATAGTACAACCTTCATGGCGAATCGCGAACTACTCAATCCAGCATAATGACTCAGCAGTCAGGGCCAGTCTAGATTTCCTAGGGGAAGTGAGGGAGGCCGCGTCAACCCGGGCGGCAGCATACAAGGCTAGGATGGCGCAAGCATATAATCAACGAGTGAAGCCAAGAACATTTCAGGTCGGAGACTTAGTACTCCGAAAGGTTGGAATCTCCAAAGCCGTGGGCAAATTAGATCCAAAATGGGAAGGACCGTACAAAGTAACCCAAGTTGTCAATGCAGGAGCATACCGTCTCCAGCATATAGATGGACGCCACTTGCCGAGGACTTGGAATGTCGGTAATTTGAAAAAATATTTTTCTTAGAAGGTTTCCTTTTCCCAACCGCCGGTCCTGCGAGGCCCGCTACATATTTATTTCCGCTTTTTACGAACAAGTCGGGGACATGTTGTCCGCCGCATTTTCTCCATATTATTAATGAAGTAGTTCCCGGGGGCATACTGTCCACCGTACCTTTCTTATACTTCAATTTGTCGACACACTCAATAAAATTGGTAGAAACTTGACCAACGGTCCAGTGCTAAAACGCGGGGTAGAGGGGGAAATATCATCGGAGCTGGCCTTTGTTATTTCCCTCCCATAACCTCTGCAATAGCAAAAGAAACAGTGGCTAAAAGTCCAAGGGACCCCTCCCCGCCATAAAATGTTCATATCAAAACATAGGCGTATGAGCGGCCTCCCCAAATAAAAACTTAGCGGTCTGATCAACCACTATGTAACAAGGGCACGAGAATTGCAAAATTGAAGAGCGATTGAAACAATCCATTCATATAGCAAAAGCGCGCATTTTTTAGTTAAGGACATTACCTTCTAAAAATAAAAAATAATACTAATAACAAATAAAAAGCATATATATAGATGGCGGAGCAAAGAGGAAGCTAATGGTATATCCAAGGCAACCCGACAAAATAAGAGCTAGACCACGCCCTAGCAATAATACGCCTCTCATACGAGCCCGTATATCAAAAATAAGGGTACTACACGACTCTCATACGAGCACGTACATCAAAAATAAAGACACTACGGCTCTCATACGAGCACCTATCGCAAAAAGAAATATATATATATAATATATATACTAAGTCCTAAGTGGCGGGATCAACCTCCACCGTCGGCG